AAAATTCTCAGCTCGTATATACCTTTGAACAGTTCCTCATCATAATTCTCCCTATTCCTTCTAGAACTCCTGCTAGATGTATGTTGTACCTGCTCACTGATTGCCAAAATTTTCTCACACTTTCCACCTTTTTAATCTCTGTGCTGCCTTCTTGGGAATCTGCTCAGACCTGGCTTCTAATTCAATTTCTTTTCAGCTTTGTCCAACCTGGTATCCAAATTTACTCCCCTTCCCCTCATATTTCAGTTGTTTTAGGGAGTTCTTTGGAATTCCAACTATTTTCCAGTGTTTTGCTCCTTCCTTATAATTTCTAGTCTTTTATAAGCTCTTCAGTATTTTTAAAGTTATTGTAAATGTGCAGATTTGTTCTCTTTTTCACACAGTTCTTTTTTTTTTTCAGACAGTTCTATTAACTCAAATTCTTGGAGGTGCCAAGTTTCCTACTTATTGTGTCTACTGTCATTCTTTCATATTCTTCTGGTTAGGTTTTAAGTTTTAGAGCTCATTTTGGTTGGGACCAGCAGTTCTATTGTTGTCCAATGTAGTTTTGTTGTGAAATTACTAATGAGTAGTTTTGCTTTGCCTTCTGGACTTTATCAGACCAGAACTAATTAACAAAATGTTTTTGGTTCGGAGAATTCCACACCATGCAGGCGAAGTATAAACCTGGGACTCCCAATTTCTTGCAGGAAATGTCCCCCTGCCCAGAGCCCCTGGGAGAAAAGCCTCTTAGGTGTTCTCTGAGCTGCTGGGGTATGGGTAATAGGTCCTTTTGGCTCATTTCCACCGAAGGAGCTCTTCCCGGGGCCTCACTTCGAGTGTCTCAGTTCAAGCCCTCTGGGTTTTTCAGGCCTGAAGCCATATCCTTAATGCCTCAAATGAACATAACTTCTGAAAAGTGTCTAGGGCCTACACAGAGGCTGGTTCCTGCCACCCCCTGCCACTGGCAGGCTCCCTAATCAGGTTTTAAGTTCTCTGATTTATTTCAAACTGGCCTGTGTAGCTAAATCTTTTATTTTATCCACCATTTGTGTCTACCAGTGTAGTCTGCCATGTTTCGAAACTTCTGTACGAAAGTTCTCTTCTACTACGCTAACAACCACAGGAAGTGAGTTATTACAAGGAAACTGAAGGTCACCTCTAGTAAGTGGCAGGGCCAAGATTCAACCCCAGATCTGTCTGGCCCCAAAGCCCTACTCTTTCCCTTGTATACCACATTAACTCTCAGAACTGGAGTCACTTGGTTAAATGGCACTTGCCAAAAAGATTAAAAGATTTTTAAAAAACTGTCATTAATTAGTAATGACTAAGGGTTCCAGCTTAACTTCATGTTCGCTAGCATTTGGTTATTAAAGGCGAGAACATCAAATGTTGCTTTAATTAGTCTGTATCATCACCAGCAAGAGTAGACATTTCTCCGCGCCCTCTACTATGTTCTCTTGTCATGCTTCCATGCACCGTCTCTGCAGGAGGCAGCCCACGCAGGGCAGAATGCATGCATGTGAGAAAGGAAGTACGATCACAGACTAGGGCCTGTCTGGAAAATAAACAGCCACTTACTCTCCAAGATCAATGAAGGAAAAAGCAAACTTACTAAAATATTTCTTTATTTGAATAAGGTCAAAGTCAGTTCTTGAATTCCAGCTAGCATCAAATAACAATCAGAAAAAAACCTTGACAAAATGTTATCCAATTGAAATTGACAGTGGATAGAAAACCCTTTTAAACTTTAAGTAATATCACAACAGAAATATATTAAACAGGCAACATATAGATCTAAAAAGTTCCAAGTGTGGATTTTACACGAGATCTTATAAATTAAAAAATCCTCAGTATAATCATTTGTTCATTATCTTCTTTCGATAAGCACATGGACAGGTAAAGAGGATCACATCTTAATATTCACAACTGTTATGTATGTTCTTTATAAACATTGTATCTCTGCAATGCTGCGGGGCAGGCAAGCTCTTGTTCAAGTAATTTGTTTCCCCCAGGTTACCAAAAAGCACAATTTTCTGAGATAAAATGTCACATAATAACCATCAGGAAAGCAAAAAGCTTTAGCAGGCAGGCTTCAGAATGGGAGTCTTCATGGCTTGACCATGATCGGAAGATGATTTTGTAAGTTTAAGAGCCATCACCAAAATACCAAGAGTGACAGGGAATGATCTGGATTGAGTCTGCAGTTGCTCATGAACCAAGCGTTTTCATAAAAGGAACATTAAGTAAATTCTAAGTATAAAAGAATCAGTGCACATCTGCGATGACTGACAATAGTTATTTTATGCTCTCCAGCTCAGCTTTAAACCAACAAAATACCTGCCTTCTTCCACTCCTCGTCTTGGTGGTTCTCAAATATTCAGGTGCTCAGAACCACCTGAAGCATCTGTTGAACAGTGACATCCTGAAGCCCCAGCCCTACGTGCTCATTCAGGTGGTCTGATACGAGGCCCTGGAGTCTCTATTCTTAACAAGCATTCCATAGCCCAGATGGTCCATGGGCATTACGTTGAGAAACACTGATATCCCTTTAATGCACAACAAAATATTGTTTACTTTTTGTGACTTAATGGTAAAGTTTCAAGCTGAATATAACATTTAGAACACAGATAGGTACATGAAATAAGAGTTATTAGCCAGCCGGGCTCGGTGGCTCAGCCTGTAATCCCGCGCCTTTGGGAGGCTGAGGTGAGTGGATTGCCTGAGCCCGCGGGTTCGAGACCTGCCTAGGCAACTTGGCGAGACCTCATCTGTTCAATAAATAAAAAAATTAGCTGGGCGTGGTAGCACGCACCTGTAATTCCAGCTACTCGGAAGGCTGAGGTGGAAGGATTGCCGGAGCCCAGCAGGTCAAGGCTGCGGTGGCCGGGAGCGGCCACTGCACTCTAGTCTGGGCGACAGAGTGAGACTCCAACTCAAAAAAGAAAAAAAAAAAAGAAAAAAAAAAAGAGTTATTAGTCATTATGTAGTTATATTTTCTTTTAAAAAGTGGTATCATAAACACAATGACTTACATACAAATTTTAAAATCAAACTTGTTTTAATCCAAGGCACCTGTAGAATACTTGCTGGTGTGAGATAAGTGAACAAATTCAATTATACAAAATAGTACAGAAATGAAGAATCTGGCAGTGATGATTTCTCCATAGAGCAAGCTTTCTTGTGCAGAAATGAGCTAGTAAAGTATGATTTTGAGGAAAACAAAGCAAACTTCAAGTATGATAAAAAATCTGTGTGAACTGCTTTACTGAGTGATTTTCAAGCAAATTACTACGCAAAAAAACCAAAACAGTTCATGCTCATGCTCTTTCCTGTCAGCCATCTCCACTTGTATTAGGAATGATCAGAACGATTCCCCTTTATTTTAGCCTGAAAAACGCATGCTGCATAGATCTGGTATTCCTTAAACGTTCAGACACATGTGACCATGGACTTAATAACACTGGACTTGGCAGCCTTTTGTCTCAAGAGGATCTCCCAGGTTTCATAGTCTACAACTTAAACATTCTTCTGAAGGTATTACATTTTTTTTCATGGAATAAGAGTAAACTCTATGTTGACGATGTCTCTGAAACGTGAATTTCAAAATGTTAACACCACAAAGGAAAAATGCTACACTAGCATTTTCTACACTAAGTGACAGAAGTGGAGTGAGTCATCATTGGCATATTCTCTTCTGGTGTCCTATGGTAAATGCCAATATAGAAAGCAATACCAGGCAGTGTGTACACACCACACCAGTGTGGTATTACTACAATGCAGAGTTCTTCATAACGTCTTTGTATAGATTTAGGTCATTAGCACAATCTGTAAGTGACACTTGAGAGCAAGCTTAGGAAGGCTCAGAAGAATTCAATAGTACTATTTTATAAAACAGTATTGTTTTGGATTCTATGACAAATGAAAGACAACCACTTTAGCTCAAAGAGGTACAGGAATACTCTGAAGCCAGCAAAAGTCTATGTCAGTTGTGAAAACAAAATTAAATCTGCATTTTAAAATGTCATTTACAGACTCTTTCTATAATAGCTAGAACTATATACAAAGACTATAAAAACCCCTTCCAGTAAGACATTTCAAGTTTACTAACAAGTGCTTCACAATAACCTTAGCTCTGGAGGTAAAAGAAGAAAGCAGAAGTATTCACTGTATTTTTGCAATTTTGCCTTCAAAAATCTTAAAACTGTTTCTACTATACACCCTCCTTGATTATGATTAAAAGAGTATGCAAATAGTTACAAACCCCAGGCTGCATGGAATAATGTAAACTAGAATGTAGGGCGGATTTTGTGAATATAAAATAGCCTCAGACCATGCAATCTGAGCTGAATTTACAAGCTGTGCAAATGGAAGAAATAAATTCCTCAAGTTACTAATCTAAATACAAGAATGATTTTCATAGTATTAACCTGACATTGTTGGAATGAGGACATTCAAGGATATGTGCAACCATAAAATGAATACATGACTGGGCAGAATACCCATAAAAACTGTTAGCTGAGAAATGTTTTCACCTAAATGGTTTTTTAGGCAAACCCAAATTAATATTTCATATTTAATGGACTTTCCTAGAAGTGAAATATATCATTGGTAATCAGAGGGAAACCATTTTGATGAACATTCTGAACACTATTATCCAGATCTTAGAGCTCTCAGACACAATATTCTTTGATTTCAAAGGCAGCTGTATTAAATGGAAGGACTGCAGGCCCGGGTCTGAGGTGAGAGAATTCCGACCTCCAAGAACAACTTTGGTCACAAAACAAACAAGATGAGAACCTCTTAATCAGACCTCCTGTTTTGGGAGGCAAGAGGGCAAGCGTGTGGATGTTAAATAGAGAGGCCTCCAATATTGGAGATTTAGGGGGCAATAAGTATATCCAGGGGTTGCCCCTACTTTCTGTTATACACCGTCTTACTGGTCAATATTCTGTTCAGTGGCTGCATTCTACTGACCAGAAATTCACTGAAATATAAACAGATTTATGAACAAACTTAAATGTGGTTGTCTTTACTTTATGGTTTATTCTTACTGCAAATCAATGTTTAAACAGTTATTTTATATAAAATGGAATAATTTAGACTATGAAGCAATTTAAATACTCAAATTCCCTCAAAATGACAACATTTTGTACATACATACATGACGTACACATATGAAAATGGTGGTCAAAAGAACTTTTTGGCAGCTGCTTCTTGCTGAGACCTAGAGAAAAAGAGAAACAAATACTGACGGGACTTCTATACACTTAACTTGGGAAAGAAATAAGATTGTTTGAAATTAAAATATCAATGCCCTTTGAGGTATAAAATATACGAAGATAAGGGATGCTCTACACTCGCATTTCCATGTGCATGGAAATAGACTAGAAATCGCAGTTGCTCTGTAGCAGCCTAGTTTGATAGGTGATGCCAGTCTTATCATGGGCATAGAATCACTTCATTGAACATTTCAAACTAAACAAATACGGGAAAATGAGGCTTACCTGTACATGATATAACCAATGAATAACATCGTTTGCACCACTACAAATATGACAAAGTGCACTGTAGATAAACATGACGGAAATGGTGGTAGTTCTGGGCATTTTGGTTTTTCATTTGATGGCTATAAGGCAAAGAACTTTCTATTACAATTAGTCCAAGTAGTGATTTGCAAAAAAGAATGAAATCTTTGTAAAACTCACAATTTACTATATAAACAAATATTTTCATTTATTTATTCCCCCACCTCCCAATATCTTCTATCCTCTTAACTTTCACTGCCATTTAAAAAAAAAAAAGAGTAAAAAGGTGACACTGGAACGCCTACACCTGTCCACTAGCCAGTCACTGACTTGCTGCCATGTGGCATCCTATATGAAGATGATGATTTGAGTGTCTTTGAGGTCATTAAGACGAGGCCACCACAGACGGCAATTCCCCTGAACACTCCCACTCCACACTTGCCCAACTGGTGTAATTAACAGCAGCCCCTTCACTCTACCAGGTGTTTCAGCTCAGACAATAAATTACATGGTGGCCCTACCAGAGATCTACTGACAAATTTAATGGACTTTTCTCAGTCCTCATTCTCTCCAGTCTCATAGCATTCAACATTAGTCACTAGTGTTCTGGAAAATGTGTATTTTCCTACTTCCATGAGTATTTCTTTTGTTTTAAGGAGGTAATCGAGTACAAGGAACAAAGATTTTTCTCAAGGTATCCAGACAGAATGTCATTTAAGATAGTTGTTTCCAATATGGTTACATCTGTGGGCCAAGCTCTTCAGTATACATATACTACCTACAGCATTCACTTGGTTATTGTAACAAAGGATAATGTTGGGGAAAAGTAACCTCAAACAGAATAGATGATAATACTTTAGATGAGAGGTCGTGGTCACTGAGAAACCTATTCAGCCATATTTGAAAAAAATGTGTACTCAAGGCATATACATAGAAATGTAGTTGATAAAGTATACAGGAGACAAGATTAGAAGTTGAAGACACAAGTTCCTCTCCTCTACTACTTACTAGCTAATTACCTTGGGGAAGTTAATTTGATTTAATATATTAATTTCTTTTCTTTTTCTTTTTCTTTTTTTTTTTTTTTTGAGTCGGAGTCTCACTCTGTCACCCAGACTGGAGTGCAGTGGCCGCTCCCAGCCACCACAGCCTCGACTTGCTGGGCTCTGGCGAGTCTTCCGTCTCAGCCTTCCAAGTAGCCGGAATTACAGGCATGCGCTACCACGCCCGGCTAATTTTTTGATTTTATTGTAGAGATGAGGTCTCGCCTGCCCAGGCAGGTCTCGATCCCACGGGCCCAGGCAATTCACTCACCTCGGTCTCCCAAAAGCGCGGGATTACAGGCTGAGCCACTGAACCCGGCTTAATTTATTTTCTAAAGGACATTGGCTGTTTACAAAAGCTTTAAAAAAAGATAAAACCCCATATAAAATATAAAGGATTGGGATTTCTGCTTCTGGTAAGGTAGACTAGAAAATATAGACCAATCATATTCTAAATGTCTTGCAAAACACAACTAGCAGAGTTAGAAACAAATCTGATCTCATCCCAACACACAAAACCTGACTGAAGACAAATGAAGCTCACAAGACAGCAAGAAACTATCAGATCAGAACCCTGGGGGAAAATGGGCCCCCAAAATATACTTTAAACAACTGAAGGAGGCTGGGTGTGATGGCTCACACTTGTAATCCTAGCACTTTGGGAGGCCAAGGCAGGAGGACTGCTTGAGCCTGGGTGTTTGAGACCAGCCTAGGCAACACAGCAAGACCTTGTCTCTACAAACAGTAAAACAAATTAGCTGAGTATGGTGGTGTGTGCCTGTAGTCTCAGCTACTTGGAGGCTGAGGCAGAGGGACCGCTTGAGCCCAGGAGTTAGAGACTGCGGTGAGCTGTGACCATGCAACTGCACTCCAGCCTGGACAATAAGCTGAGACTCTGACTCAAAACAGACAAACAAACAAAAACACAATAAAACCAACCCATGGATCAGAGATAACATTAAAATGGAAATCGGAAAATATTTTTATTCAAGGACAATATAAGTACTACATATTAAAAAAACTGTGGGATGGGTAGGCCAGCTCTCATTCCTTGCTTCTGCTAGGAAGGGTTAACTGCTATGGGAACGGCTCTCCCACCTCACACAACTAGAAAATCAGGACACATGAACGTTTGGAACATATAGAACATTAAAAATGAACATTAGCATTGACGAAAAAGTTAAAGCATTGACGAAAAAGTTAGTAAGGTGGAAGAGGAGCTCTTCTTCTTCCGAAGATTATGATAATTAGAGAAGGAGAAGGAAACAAAGTTACCATGTTTTGCTGCACTAAGTTATCTATGTCCCTCTTCACGACGTGCAGGTGTTCTTTGATGTCCAGAAAGTGCTGTGTTGTCTCATAGGCTCCTCCGGCAGAGCCAGGATGTTGTATTCCACTGACCAGTCTTACAGTTTCACTCACTGAAATCCTGAAACAGAAAGTCCCTTTATACAATGGAATCACTATAAAAATGGGGTTTTTCTCAGTCACAGGTTTCAAATGGTTATACCTTTTCAATATATTAGATCATTAAAAAAAAAGGTAAAGATAATAAGTATTTTTAAAAACTGAGTTGTCTTCAAAACTGGAAAATAATTTGTAAAACTACAACATAACATTATACCTTTATCTTTTACTAAAGGTTGTCTTAAAATAACCAAATAGAGACTACTGCTAAGAAATCTATATTAAAACCAATAGTGTAAGAGTTTACTGAATAACAGAATGGATGATACTTTTTTTTTTTTTTGAGTTGGAGTCTCACTCTGTCACCCAGACTGGAGTGCAGTGGCATGCTCCTGGCCACCCGCAGCCTCAACCTGCTGGGCTTGGGCGATCCTTCCGCCTCAGCCTTCAAAGTAGCTGGAACTACAGGCGCACGCTACCACGCCTGGCTTTTTTGATTTATTATAGAGATGAGGTCTCATCAAGTTGCCCGGGTGGGTCTCAAACTTGTGGGCTTAGGCAATCCACTCGCCTCGGCCTCCCAAGTGCTGGGATTACAGGCTAAGCCACTGAGCCTGGCTGGATGATACTCTTCATGAAGTTATAATAAATCTTCTAGGTGTTACCCTAAAGAATTAACTCATCAAGCCTGAGCTGTCCAAACCCTGTACTTTCCAAAGTTTTCAAAATTGGACTTGATCAGTTCCTAGGATATGACCTGTGAGCCCTTAGAATATTCTGTTTGAGAAGAGCATTTTTGTATATCTGGGGCCTTGGCCTCACCAGAGTTTACGCAAACAATGTGATTTATGTGATTCTCTGGTTTTCTTTGCCTGGAGCCTTAGAATTTCACTGTATCGGTCTGACCTCTAGGTGGAATGGAGACTTTAGTATTTAAGGTCGGTCATGTGGGTGCTCCATACCTATGCGACTGACCTAATAAAACTTCTCGACACCATGGACTGGATGAGCTTCTCTGGCTGGCAACACATCGTGTGTGTTGTCACACATTGCTGATGGGAGAATTAAGTACTGTCTGGGAGACACACTGTCTGGGAGAGAACTGGAAGTTTGCACATGGTTTCTCCTGGATTCCACCATATGCAACTCTTTTTGCTTTGCTGATTTTACTCTATACCCTTTCACTGTAATAAACCATAACTGTGAGTACTGAATTCTGTGAGTACTTCTGGCAAATCATAGATCCTAAGGGGTCTTGGGGACCACAAACACAAATATAATTCTGTCTACTTTAACCTCCAAGCAAGATATGATTCCACTATTCACAGGTAAGATAAAGATTCTACCACTGAGTCTGTCCTTTGCATACAAGTCTGTTTATAAGCATAATACTAAGAGACTACAAATATTTTTCTTTAATAATCACAAAAATATATTGGCCTATTTACTAATAAATAAAAGAATATGAATTTCAATTTACCCAAAGATACCAACTTATTTTACCTATTTTACTTGAAAAGCTCTATAAATGGTAAATAGCTCACGCTATTAACATGTACATTATGAATTACCTTCAAGTCTGGGGATTTTTTGTTGAGGGAGGTAAAGCTTATACTGGCAACATGTTCACACTTGCTGGACCTGACTGGCAGATATGCAGAGGATCATGGCACCATTCTCGTTACTGCTGTATACATGTAAAAACAGCCACAAAAGCCTTTCCTCATCCTTAAGGGTGTCCATAATCTGTTTGCTGCTTATCTCTCTGGCTTTATCTCCCACTACTCGCTTTCATCTGCGTGGGTCCTGTCATTCCCTGAAAATATTCTTTCCCTTTAAGCCGCTGTCTTTGAGATATCCTTTCTAGTCATAATCCCGCCCCAAATACCTATGGTTTAAAATGTAAAGCTCAGTTCAAATGCCCGGTTTCCTCTGTGTTTTCCTTTCTGTGATTCTTTCTTGCCAAATGCAAACCTTTCCTCCTACACACACACACAGATTCTACGTTGTATCTGCACAAATCCCCCTCAAATAGCCTAGGCTCCCTAAGAATAGGGGTGATGATTCTGATTTCCTACCAGTGTCTTTAACAGCTATGAGTCAATTTGGATTAATAAATACATAAATTATCTCACTTCCCTGGAGTAAAATTTAGTTTGTTTTTTTTTAAAAGAGCTTTAATATAAGAAAACAGAGAGAGGTTCAAATCTTAAAATTACTGAAAAATAACATGTCAGGCTAAATATTAAGTATAATAAAAGTTTTTAAAACTTATACTTTAGTTATTTGAGCAATAATGAGTTTAAAATTAGCTACAGCTGGGCTTGTGGCTCAGCCTGTAATCCCAGTGCTTTGGGAGGCTGAGATGAGTGGATTGTCTGAGCCCGTGAGTTCGAGATCCGCCTGGGCAACTTGGCGAGCCCTCATCTCTACAATAAAATCAAAAAATTAGCCGGGTGTGGTAGCACACGCCTATAGTTCCAGCTACTTGGGAGGCTGAAGCAGAATTGCCAGAGCCTAGCAGGTCGAGGCTGCAGTGGCCGGGAGCGGCCACTGTACGCCAGTCTGGGTGACAGAGTGAGACTCCTACTCAAAAAATAAAAAATAAAAAAAAATAAAATTAGCTACAAAATATCTTAAGTGCTTTCTGAACCAATATCACGTATTGTTTAACATTTCTTTTATTGGCACGCATGTCCAAGAAAATTCATGTGAGTCTAAGCTTTTCCATTACAACTCAAGGATTACATTTTAATAAACCTAAAATACTTACCAAGACCAAAATCTCCCAGAATAGATAACTGTCTCACACATCTGCATTTAAGAATATTGCTTCCCCGAAGTATGAATTGCTCACATGTCAATGTCTTTTTTTTTTGAGTCGGAGTCTCATTTTGTTGCCCAGACTGGAGTGCAGTGGCCACTCCCGGCCACCGCAGCCTCGACCTGCAGGGCTCTGGCGATCCTTCTGCCTCAG